GCAGACGACTCTCTAAGGATTCCCCACTTCTCTTCTCACGAAAAGGTGACCGTCTCACACTAAGTAGCGTTCCAACATCCTCTGAGTCCTATTGCTCGCATCCCTTAGCCGCATTTCGCAGGACAGAAGAAGCCCCAGCTCTAGGTAGATCTTGTCCTACTCCTCTGCACGAAAAACCTCCTTAATCTCCCCTTCCTCGAACTCGTCATCCTGACTCTCGGGCACTTCGTCCACATTCTCTGCCGGGTTCAACGAGCCTGACTGGTCGAGGCTTTCCTGTAATAACGTGTTGACGGGGAGATACATTCCTTCCATCAGGTCCTCATGCCGTTCTACCTGGCCAGGTCCTTCCTCAATCGTCCTCATATCCTCCACCAGACTTTGCAAACTGGCCAGCGCTAATTCCATTATCCACTGAACATTCTTACCACCCAGGGATCCTCTTCCTCAAAGGGCTTAAGGACTAGCTCATCCCTCCATTCATACCCACTTGGCGTTTGCCAGATAGGATAGCCTACACAGCTGGGCACCCGCGGCGACCACTTGTTAATGTGGAGATGAACATCTTCTTCCTGATCCAAAAATCCATCAACTGGGGGCGTATTCTCCACCGCTTCCCTTTCCTGTTTATCCTAGTTGATCCAACTCAAACCGTCCGCCCGGTTCTTACTACCAGGAATCCGTTTGAGTTCGAAATTGAACATCCAGATGTACGTCAGCCATCTGACAACCGTCGGATCCGATGGAACGTAATTCCTTAGAGAGTAGGCTAGGGCGGTCGGATCCACTCTCAAAATAAACCTCCTGCCGAAGATGTAGTTTCGGAAGATTCACAGACAATGGAGGACGACAAGGGTCTCCCTCTTGAACTGAGGGTAGTTCCTCTCCGTCGTACAGAGAATCCGACTTTCAAATCGCAAGGGCCTTTCCTTTCCTTCCATGTCTGCCTGAATTAGAACTCCCACTCAGGCAGTTGGCCCCGCATCCGTTTCGACAATGAAGGGTCGCTTTTCTGTAGCGTCATAATCTGGCGCTCCTAATACCAACCCTCCTTCTTGAAATTCCTCCTTCATTTTAGCCACCACCTCTTCTTGTTCTTCACCCCAAACCCATTCCTGATCCTGACGGACTAACTTCCTCAGGTGTTCAGTCTTAGCGGCAAAGTTCTTGACGAAGGCCCTCCAAAATCCACACGTACCAAGGAAGCTTCTGACATCAGTTATTGAGTGGAACAAAATTGGCCACTCAGTAATCTTGTCCGTCTTCTTCGCATCCGGCCTCCGGCTCTTCTCACTGCAGACGAACCCCAAGATAGTCGCCTCCCTCTTGCAGTGCCTGGACTTGGCCCCGCTCGCCGTGAGGTTATGCTTCTTGAGCAGGCCCAAGACTTTTTCGACGCCCTCGGTATGCTTCCAGACAAAGAGCCTCACCCCTGGCGAGACTTCGTCGCTTTCCTTCATTGCCGGCCCCTTCATCGCCAAATCGTCGATGTATGGCTGTGTGATATAGGGGCTGACTGACTGCATAACCTGAATCATGGCCCGTTGGGTCATTGCTTCCGCATTTGTCCACCCTTGTGGGGCGACGTTCATGTGGATTAACCCTCGCGGCGTGTGCATAGCCATCACAGGTCTGTCCGGCGGGTAGACTGGGAACTGATCATATCCTGAGTAAAGGTCTATAAGTGAGATTATAGGCCTTCCAGCACAGGATTCTGACAGCGCGTCCGCATTGGGCAACCCTCCAGCATCCCGAACGGTCACTGCATTCAGTCTTTGCAAATTTTGCACCCACCGCAGCGTCCCGTTAGGCTTGATAAAGCAGAACCACGGGGACGCGTACGGTCCACTCGAATAGTCGGCGACGTGCGTACGTATTTTACCGTCGAGGTAATCCACCACCTTCTTTTCCTCATCAGGGTTAAGAAACCGCGCCCGTCTCATGTTCCAAGGCTCGTGTGGCACGGTGTGGTTGCGGATTATAGGTATTTTGTCCACATCCAGCCTGCCACATTCCTCGTCGCTAAACGCATAGGCGCGATGCCTCCTCTTCATCAGCTCCACTATTAATGCTCGCTCCCGAGGCAGTAGGAAGTTGGGCTCCCCTATAATCGACTCCCTTTCATTCCCTTCGTTGATACGACATGGTCCTGCTAAAGCACTCTCCCTCATTCGCCGTATCAACCGTCGTTCCCTCTCGTAATATGCTTCCTTGTCCTCTGTAACGAGGACGGGAACCGGGCGACACTTCTTGTCTACCGTCTTGTACTGCCTTTGGGAACCCTGCTTGAGCCGTCTCCTAAGAAAGGCCGGCTCACAGATTGTGCTTGCGCTGATGCTGGGTTCCTTCAGCTGCCTGGGCGCCGATATACCAACTCCAACCTTCCTACCTCGGGGCATTCCAGAACCTGCTCCCTCAAGGCCTGGATGGCATCCGGATCTGCCATCTCGTGCGTGGCCACCAGGTCCATGGCCTTCCCAACATCTGACAGGCTGAGGAAAAATGCTTTCACCCTCTCTCCCGCTTCGGGCTCTGCCCAGCCTCCAGCGCTCCCCTTCCGACTCCTCGATCGTGAATGATCCTGGATTGGGCCGGTTCCTTATGCTCCTTGGCCCGGTGTTCCTACAGGTAATTATTTCGTAATTCCCGCAGGCAGGATCGCATAAGAGAAGGATTAGAGTCCCGTCATGTTTGTTGAACATCACGGTCTCCGTTCTGCTTAGGAATGACCTCCCAGGAGGATTCCATGGTCCACGTCCGGCATTATGAAGAAGCATGCCCTGACCTTCACCTTTCCAACCACGATGAGCACATTCGAGGCTGTCCCGCAAAACACGGCCTTACAGCTGGCTCCATGCAGAATACCGCAGTTAGAGCGGTCTATATCCAGCCCGAATCTGATCGCGTCCGCCTCCCGAATAATGTTCAACTCCACCCCGGTGTCCACCATTGATGCGCACTTGGAACCCTTCACCACCAAATCCACTGTGCCGCAGGCTACGCACTTCCAGTCCATCTTCGTACCTGACTCCGCCCACTCTGCCTCCTTGGGCAGGATCGTACCCAGATGGACATTGGGCACCAGGTGCCGCGACAATCTCCCCTTCAGTTCATCGCGGAGTCAAAAGGGGCTGACGCTAAGATTTCCTTTAGGGTCATGAGGTCATTATGCCCTTCCAGCAGCCTGTCAATTACTCTCTCTACGTCAAATCCCTTTTCCAACCGAACCGCGTATTTCTTCTTTTTGGGTGGTTCGTCACGTATGACCGGTTCGGCCTCTCCCCTGGTTCCCTTTTTCCTTGCCCGCTGCTTCGCTCTCAGATCCTCCTCTCTGCGCAGCTTCTCATCCTCTTCCTCTTCATCATCGTCGTCCTCTACTTCCACAGCCTCTTTCCTTCTCCCTGGTTCGGTTTCCCTCCTCGGAGGCTCTTGGATGGCACTGGCCTTGGCTTGATTCCTCGTTCGCGCTGCCTGTGCCAGCCGGGCCTACGGAGTGAGGGGTCTCCCCATCGTTCCCGATTGTGGGCACAACCCCACCACATTTACTCTGGGTCGCCCAGGCACTAACTCCGGGCCGGAGTCATAGAGGAACACCTTGGGGATGATAGATTTCCATCTCTTCACTTCCTCACAGAGGTCCACCAACTTCTGTTGGTACCTCCCCATCTTATCCAGCAGTTTCTCCATCTTCCCAAATAAGACGGACGGAGGCTTCATCCTTTCCTCCTCATTCTAGTCATCTGACTCAATGATTATGGGTTCTTCCTTCTTACTCCCTCCTTGTAGCGCTTGAGCCACTTCCTCATCGCTCCCTACTTCCTCCACCCCAATCGGTGGTTCCTCCTTTTCCTGCCATAGCCTGAATATGGCAGGGCGTGGCGGCCCAGCAGCCGCTCTTCGCCGGGCTTCATCCCTCACTCCTCCAAGCCTTTTGTCAATAGGCTTCCCAAACTGATCGTAGATATTCCCATCCATAGTGGAGGAAATCAGCCCGCTCCTCTCGTCTTCCCGTCTTATATTACAGAACCTTATAGTGTGGCGTCTTCCCGTCTTATATTACAGAACCTTATAGTGTGGCCTTGCTGGTCACGATGTTGACAGATGACCGTCCTCCAGTCAAAACGGGGTCTTCCATACCCCTGACTTCCGTGATCCCCCTGGCCTTGATACCATTGACCTTGGTACCCCTGGCCTTGGTACCCCTGGCCTTGATTCCCTTGGCCTTGGTACCCCAGGCCTTGATTCCCTTGGCCTTGGTACCCCTGGCCTTGACCATTCCATTGCCTTCCTCTTTCGCCGCCATTCCTGCCTCGCCCCCTTCCTCCACCCCTCCCTCCGTTGCCTTGATTGCCCTGCCTCTGGTTCCCACCTCCTGCCACACTGCCCTATGAACTGGGAGTAGGTGACGGTGGCGGGGCCATAGGATGGACCTGGGCTGCGGGGTAGATGGGTGGCGGCATACTTGTTTGCGGTCCGGCTTCTGGCGTGGGCTTCCCCATGGCACTATTGCATTGATCACCTGCCAGGGCCACTGTCCATAGGAGGGCGCCCTACCTTGCGAGGGGCCCGTACTAGATGATGGAGCCGCCAYATTTAAAGGGGCTGCTGCCTGGGCCTGAGGCGCCTGCGCTTTTCCTGATCCTGTTCGCCCTGCGCCAAGTTACGCACTTTACGTTGGGCCTTTGTCAGGTGTTGTGGCGCCGGCTCTTCCTCTTCCCAGAGTTCTTCCTCAACGGCCTCTTCTTTCACCAGCTCCTTTCCTTTCATTTTGACAGCCGTCACTACCCTCCTTTGCACCACCGGCTCTGTCACATACCCCAACTGTGCCAATACGTTTGTAACAATCCTTGTTACCTCCGGGGTCCCAGAAGCGGTCGCATCTCTTCCCTTTCTCTTCTGCCTTTGCAGGCGTACCTGACATTGCTCCACCTGGTCCAAACACCCAACTTCCACCCCTCTGTCAATGGTGGCCCAGGTGAGCTTGGTGYTACCTCCTCCATGCCTCGTCAACTCGACGGCCTCCGATGCCATGAKTAGCCMCAGGAAGATGGCTCACYGTGCTTCCTCCGAAATCCCATGGACCTTCCGCGCCCTCTTCTTAAATTCTTGAACAAAARCCCCTATCGTCGTAAAATCCTCTTTGTTCATCGCCTCAAGGTCCGCGGTAGTCAATAGCCCGTCTCMCAGGCGGTATTTYCTCTGCATCCCCTCCTTGAAMCTCTCCCAGCTACCTTGRGCYGCATCTATGACTTTTTTCACTTCCTGGTGGTAGCTGCTGTCTCTTATACACATCTAGATGTGTATAAGAGACAGGTCGTGAGTAGCCCTAGGAAGATGGCGCACTGTGCCTCCTCCGAAATCCCATGGACCTTCCGCGCCCTCTTCTTAAATTCTTGAACAAAAGCCCCTATCGTCGTAAAATCCTCTTTGTTCATCGCCTCAAGGTCCGCGGTAGTCAATAGCCCGTCTCMCAGGCGGTATTTTCTCTGCATCCCCTCCTTGAAACTCTCCCAGCTACCTTGRGCTGCATCTATGACTTTTTTCACTTCCTGGTGGTAGCTGTGGAGGACATACTGTGGAATGCGTTGGAATTTTACCACGTCCGACCGCCCGACCAAAGCTTGTTTCACTTGTTCTAGTCATTCCGAGACTCTTTCCCCACAAAAATGGAAGGTATTGACCTTGGGGATATTGCTCGGATTTCTTTCGTGCCTGTCAATAGCCGCTATGAGGTCATCGAGCGTCAGGCCCTTCTTGGGACCACCCGATGCGCCGCCGCCCTGCGACATCTTGACACATCTTTCACTTCAAGCTCCCTGATAAGAGAAAAACAAGCGCACCCCTTTATTCAGCATTACACCTTGACCGGTCTATTCCATCCGTCCTACCTATCTCTTACTACGTACCTTTACCCAATGCTATACGTTCGTCCTTCACACCTTCCCTTACTCAAGTAGGTAAATTTTCTCACCTATACTCAATCGTGCATTATCTTTCCTCGCCTTCTCGTCCTTCCTTTATGCCTTTTCTCATTCACTTCTCAAACCTGGATGTCGTTCCACCAGGGACAACGGTAGGTTTTCCGATATCCCCGGCAACGGCGCCACCTGTCGCGCGCATCGGTCTGGCACCGCATCAGGGCAGCGCGGGACCCTCCCGGCCACGTCATGCAGGAGTTGGTTTAAAAAAAAACCTTCGTCGCAATATACATGGAGCTTCCACAAGCCGCTCCGGCCGAGTGCGCCAGCCATACCTCTCACGAGCCCCTACGACAGGATAGAGCCTACGCAAGGCACGACTTACCTACACCTTACGGGAGCTGACACCTCCTTTCGGTGGGCGTATCCCCGCCGAGCTACAAGTCCAGAGTACGTCTTAACCCCTAAGCAAGCTTTTAGTAAAAGGGTCCTTCAGCCAAAGCAAGTATTCATCCCAAATATCACCATATATATGCATATATAACAAGGGGAAGTATGTGACGATCACTTCTCACGGTCTCACTGGGGTCTCCCACAATAATACATATATGTGTGATCGTAGGCAACCAAATTCAGAATATGATTCACAGCACATACCTGCCATCACATCAACAAACCAAATCAACAGCCCACACACTACACGGAGTCAACCCCAACCACCTTCGACATTCATACCCCTCGCTTTAGTCATGCAAGCCCCAAACCTCATGTCCAACCAACCTTAATTAAATACTCAGCACCTTTGTTAAATGGCCATTCAATAAAAGCACGGGTGAAACCATAATAAAACAATAAAATTTACCAGGGCTGAAGCTTTTTAGCTTGAGTGTGGAGGGGGAATTGAAATTGAGTCGTAAGCCGACGAATCAACAACCGACCTATTATCAGTGATAACAGAAAGTGATCCTCAAGGGATCAAGCTGGATCTAGTCCTGAACTTGGATCAAATGATCAAAAATAACCTGTAACACACGGCCGAACAATCCCCAAGCAAAGATCATAAGTGTATGAAGAATAAAACTCAATAATACATCCTTACTCAAAATCTCCCTATTAAATAAACCTAAATCCGCCTCTAGGCCAGTGCTTAAGCCAAAGATGGACCAACTGCAGAATCTTCCCTATCAAGGGCGGATCGCCTGAATTGCCAGCTGTCAAAATATAATCTATCTCCTCTAAACTAAAAAAAAATTCGGCAGCGCTTCCCGTAGAAAAAGTGTCTTTCGAGAATTTATATAAGCTCTAATATGAACGCAGAAATAATCTCTATCTCTGGAAAGTCAAATTTTGTCTAACTCCCTGAACTAGTACAAATTTGGGCAACACTCCCTCTAGAAAAGGAAACTTTCCAAATTTATACTAAGCCAGATTTGAACTCACAAGACAAACTTGAGTCTAATTTAGATAAGATTTAACTAACTAATTGGTTTTGCAGAAATTTCGGCAGCACTCGCTCTAGAAAAGTGTTTTTCCAAAGTTTATACAAAGCGAGGTCCAAAATTTGAGAATAACTTTGACTTCTCAAAGTCCAATTTTGTCTAACTCCCTGAAATAGTAAAAATTTGGGCAGCATTCCCTCTACAAAAGTGTTTTTCCAAAATTTATAGAAATCGAGGTCCAGAATTTGAGAATAACTTTGACTTCTCAAAGTCCAATTTTGTTTCACTCCCTGAATTAGTAAAAATTTGGGCAGCACTCCCTTTATAAAATGAGACTTTCCAGATTTATACTAAGCCGGATATACGAAAAAGACAAGTTGAACTCTAACAAGTCAAAAGTTGATTCACTTCTTAGATTTGTAGAAATTTCGGCAGCGCTTCCCGTAGGAAAAGTAGCTTGCCAA